GCTGTAGAGAAGCTGAAAGATCAAGCAACATCTGATCAATTCAGGTGGAAACTGAGAAATCGATTTCAGGTTCTCACAGACGAAGTCAAAGGATCAAGAAAGACAAGAGTCATCAGAAGCGTATCATATACTGCACCATCAAGTGAAGAAGAGCTGCCGAAAAGACAAACGGGATTGGATAGAGCAAAGAGGCCATGAAGCGGCAGATCAAAATGATACGAAGACTCTTTATCTTATCGTACGCGACCTGACAAGAGTGAGAAGTGGACAAGGAGCTCCCATCAAAGATAAGAACGGCAAGGTCCAGAAGACCAAGAGAGAAGGTGGGTTGAACACGTCAAGGACATGCTCAACCAACCAATGCCAGCAGAGCATTTCGCCTTCAACCCACCTGCCCCTGACAAGGATCTGGCCGTGAATCTGGATGCCATCACAACAACAGGGACGGCAACAGAGATCCGCCTGCTAAAGAATAACAAAGCGCCAGGATTAGACATGATATCAGCAGAAATACTAAAACATGGTGGCCATCCCATCGTCGAACAACTGACGACTCTCCTAAATACATGCTGGGCAACAGCTCAAGTGCCAGAGGATTGGCGAAAAGGAGTCATCATCAAACTCCCAAAGCAAGGAAATCTCACTGATTGCAACAACTGGAGAGGGATCACGCACAAAATGACAAAGAAACTGGAACAAGAGGTGGCCAAGATAGGGGTTCGCATAAGTACAACTAAAACCAAGATTATGCGAGTCGGATACACCACCGAACATGCCCTTTTGAATACTGGACAACAACAAATTGAGGAAGTGGACAAGTTCACCCATTTGGGCAGTTTTTTGACGAGTGATGGAGATGCTGAGCATGACGTCACATGCCGGATTGGCAAAGCTTCAGCAGACTTCCAAAGACTCAAGCCCGTTTGTACAGCCACAACAATTTCAATCAAGACCAAGGTGTGTTTATTTAGCAGCATCACACACACTCACACACACACACACTATTATTACTACTATTACTATATATTTAAAAAGTTTGGCCAAGTTGTGCAGCCCTTCAAACGAGCACAGCAAACCGGGTTTTTTTTTTAATTGCAGTTTTTTTAAATCAGAAAATTCTCAATCTGATTCCACCTGAATCTGTGCAGCTCTAGTGTGAGGTATTGTGCAGCTGTGCACCTGTGTTCCAGGACTACTGATATCGATGGCGTCAGTCCAGCCTGGTGAGGGGGGCGTGTCTGTGCGGCCGGTGGGCGTGTCCGTGATGATGCGCAGCTGCAGGGTGGGCAGCGTCTCTTTCTGTCGGCACTCAGGGAAGCTGGAGGCCTGATGAAACAACTCATGATGGACAGACGAGAGAGCAGGAACCGTCCGGCTGAACACCTCTGACCTCTCTGACTCTGAAACACACGCTGAACATTAACATGAGCAATGACCTACAATCCTCAGGATTATGTGTGTGTGTGTGTGTGAGTGAGTGTGTGTGTGAGTGTGAGTGTGTGAGTGTGTGTGTG